TTAAAGTATCAAGAGTGTGGGGCAGCCCAGCTCTAAACAATATGCTTATACAGGCAGGCAGATAAGAGGACTGGATGTCTGATGGTCAAGGTCAGGGCTGTGGCTCAGGACCCACGGGCGGCCTAAGAAGACCATTACGGTGTGTGAGGCAGTCCATGTGCACTTAGACCAACCAGGAGGCAGAAAGACATCTCTTGGAGAACAGAGGCTCAGCTGGTTGTCACACCAGGGATAAATAGCAGTGGGGACAGACTTAAGATATGTTTTTGTGGGACTGTGAGAGTCTTCTGCTTTGCATGTTGCGAGGAAAATGCCACGTCCTCCAGGAAGCTGTTCTCGTCTTTCAAACATGAGCCCAGCTCTCCAGATCTGTGCTCAGATTGTACAGCTGAGACACTGCCATCTCGATCCCACTGTCCTATCTCTGTGCCACACTGAACCAGTTGCGTGCTCCTTGAAGACAAACGAGACACTCACGCACACTCCCCTCTCTCCTGGGAACCACCGAATCCCTCCTCACCACTGTGTGAATTCCAACTCAGAGTGACACCTTGGGACAGAGTACAACTGTCTCATGAGGTTCTCCAGGTTGTAAATCATTTTGAAAGCAGAATGCCAAAACCTTCTCTTTTAGTGCTGTTGTTTTAATGTGCCATTAAGTCACCTGTGACTCATAGTGACAATAGCTCTGAAGCCTGCCCTGTCCTGAGCCAGTCTCACTGCCTCCAACACACCTACCCCCATTATACCCGAGTCCATGTGTCAATCCATCTCAACCGGGGTCTTCCTTCCTGCACTGTTTGTTCCACCACCCTTCCAAGCATGATGTCCTTCTCCAAGGACTGGTAGTTGGTTCGAATGAACAGCCTTTCCACTGGCAGCTGAGCCCTCAGACACTGTACCACCATCGCACACACTACCATTACTCACAGCCGTCAATTCAAGTCGATTTGTTCCCGCCCACACGGACCCTCCCTCAGGCTCTGGAAGCTTCACGTCACAATGGGAGGAGACTGCTCATCTCTCCTGCAAGGAGCTGGTGGTGGATTTGAACCCCTGGAGATGCACAGCTTTGGGGGCAGTGCTACAGCCAGCCTACACCTCCAGACGACTCTAAATGGTTGAGATTACTTGAGAGCTTTGCCCTGTGCTCAGCAGGGGAGATTCTGCATGTATGAGTATGAATGTAACATTTAAACCAAGGGAAGAGGGACGGGGTCTACCATTTATCCTCATTAAATGCTCATGATCAAGGCACAGGGCAACGTTTGGCAAGTCTACCTTTAACTGTTTAACCATTAAAAAGAAAAAGTATTGTTGTGTTTTGACGTTTTTAAAAATTCTTATTTAAAGCACTATGTTCATTAATTTGCTAATGGCCTTTCCCTGTAAGAAGTTGTTTATTCCACTCAGCTTTAGATCGTCTCTAAATTCCTTTGGGTTTTTTGCACTGCTCTCCATATTCAAAATCAAGTCATTCCATGAAGAGATTGGCAAAGCATCAAACGTTTTTTTGGAATAAAGGGCAATTTTCCATGTTTGACTATTCTGAGCCTTTTCGGTCCACTCCTATTCACCACGTTCCAGAAACTCATCTCAAGGAAGCCAGACAGCTTCACTGCCCCTTACCAAAGGCTATTCTTCCCCTTACCCCGTCACTTACCCAAAGCCTGCTTTCATTCCACAGCACTTCTGCTGTGACCCATTTGCATTTAGATGGCATTCACCCAGCCCAGCATTTCAGGAACCAAAAGAACTTTCTAAGAACTAAAAGGGACCAGTGAGTAAGTCCACCGTCTTAACTTTGCAGGTGAGGAAATCAGGGTGCAGAAATCAAGGTTGAACTCTGAAAGCCACATGGTGGTAATAGTTTCTGTTATTAGAAATCCCCACTTCTGGCATCTTTGCCACTCGGTCTGTCCTTGCCTGGACTGGTGCTGTAGCCTTCTAAATCCTACCCCTCTGGCTGCGGCCACCATCCTCGCAAAGACCAGTCCAGCAGCGTCAGATTACCTACAGAGCCAGGTCAACATGGCCTAACGTGCTTACTTAGTACTCAATGGTGAATGATTATACTTTTCTTTTTTTCACCACTTCCGAAACTCAGCTTCTGCATATGGCTGGCATCTGTCTCTGTCCCAACCAAACAGCACCTTCTGATAGAAAAGACACTCAGCTAATTTGTAATCCACTCACAGAGACAGCGAACTTCAACAAGCAAGGTAATCAATAATGGGCTCATTTGTATTTATTTACTAATCTGTGATGAAGAGTTTCACACGCTTTTCACCATATCCAAGATGTGAAGTTGTTCACTACAGATTAGTAAACACAGATTAAGCCCATTCTCACCTTGCTAAGTGGGTACTCCACCCCTGCATGCTACACAGTAGTAGTCAAAGAGGTGCATTCATAGGAGAAGGCAATATATAACACAACATAAATACATGAAACCCAATGTATATGAATGATAAAAATAATTTAAAAACTAAGAGAAAGAAGGCAAGTGAAATCCTTTGGTCAGAATGTGCCAATGTCTTCCCCGCTTCACTCAAATGAAAACCCATACCCTCACAAGGCTTTTCATCCCCAACTGTTCGCCCCTGTGGTAGCTGTAACCAATCAACAGTTGATGTACTCTGATGGCTTTGTGCTTGCAGTTCCTTCAACGTCTCTCTCTTCTTCCAGATGTCCTAATGACTGCCCTCCTCTCTTGGTATCTTTTCAAATGTTACTGCCGGAGATGGCTTCATAGACGACTCTTTTAAATAGGTCCCGCCTCACTTCACATCTCTCTCTCTCCCCTTGTATGTTGTTGTTCTTATATGACGTTTAGTCATCTGCAACTCATAGCAACTCTCTGTACAACAGCCCTAAACCCTGCCCTATCCTGTGCCAATCTCACCATCTCCGACACACCCACACCCATTACCCCAGTCACTGAATCAATCCATCTCATCGAGGATCTTCCTCTCCTGCGCTGTCCCTCCACCCTCCCAAGCATGACGTCCCTCTCCAAGGACTGGTCCCTCCTTGCAACATGCCAAAGTATGTCAGATGAAGCTTCAGAACCCTTGCCTCCAAGGAGCAGCTTGATTTAACCCTCTTCAGGGTGAACCTGTTAGTTTTCTTAGCAGTCCATGGTGTATATTCAATACTCTTCTCCAACATCACAGCTCAAAGGCATCAATTCTCCTTCTATCCTCCCTAGTCATTGTCCAGCTCTCTGATGCCTATTTTATTCTTCCTTTTCCTAACAGTTTTCTCACCTGGTGTTATGTATTTGTTTACTGACCTCTTTTTCTGCTCCTAGAATATAGGCTAAAAAGAAGGTCCCTGATGGGTCCCAGCCTCTGGCACATAACTGTTGTTGTTGTTGTGTGCTGTTAAGTCAGAACTAACCCATAGCTGACCTTCCAATCGATTTTCAGAGGCAGTAAATCACTCGGAAGGAGACTGCCCATCTTTTCCCTCAGAGCACCTGGTGGATTCGAACCGCGTGCCTTTCAGATTGCAGTGCAGTTTCTTGCCACTAGGCCAACAGGGCTCCTTACTAGGCTCATTAGGGGTCCTCAGTAACTTTCTCCCTTTCCCCCCCATTGTTGTAATTAACATATATAACATACAAGATAGACATCTATATTGTAAAAATATTCAAACTCATTGCCGTCAAGTCAGTATGAATTCATAACTGATTTGTCCATCTTTCTCCCCAGAAATCCCAGGTGGCTTTCAATGGCCAGGGAGGTGAAGCTTTTGGGTTTCGCCGTGCAACTACCTAAGAACTAAGTCACCAGAGCTGCCTTAAATACACATGTCACACAAACACAAATACACACACAAACACTTATCTCACATATTTTATATATATAGTTTTTGTGCGCTATTGTGTTGGAATAGACTCATAGTTGACCCTCCAGCAGGTTTTCAGAGGCTGTAAATCACATAGGAGGAGGCTGCCCATCCTTCTCCCTTGGAGCAGCTGGTGGACTGGAACCGAGTGCCTTTGGGATTGCAGTGCAGCTTCTCATCACTAGGCCACCACAGATAGATAGATCTAGAACAAAACATTTGGCATTTCAACAACCTTCACAAGTATAATTCATTGACTATGTTCATCGTCATGTTCGCTCATCACCCTTGTCTGTCCCCTAATTTTTTTCTTTCACCCGTAACAGACACTCAGTGTCTTCTAAGCATTGAATTACCTTCTTCTTCTAGCCCGTCTGCCCCTATTATCCATTAATAAGCCTTGGTCTCTGCTTTTGCCTATTCTAGAAACTTCACGCAAATGAGATTATATAGTATTTGTCCTTTCGTGACTGATTTATTTTGCATGGTATAATGATTTCAAAGTTCAAGCACGTACAAGGACTTTGTTGTCTTTATGGCCAGTATTATTCTGTTGTAGGAGGATAGTACATTGCATCTAACTGGTCATTTGTTGATGGGTATTTACGGTCTTTCAATTCTGAAGGCAGAGACCTAGGGATGTGTTCCCTCATATCAGACTCTCAGAAGCTGATACACTGATGCTTTCAAAACTCCAGTGGCTTCCTGTAACAACCTAACATTTAAAAAGAATCAATAAGGTGTGAGTCTGATAAACAGAACCGCCACAATGATGCTGCACCATGATTTCTAATTCAAAGAACCACTTCCACAGAGGAGAAGGGCTGGGGCTTCCAGACGTGTGCAGGTAATTCTTCCTACACGACTAAGATTACCGCGATTAGCTCTGGGCCCTGAAGGGAAAAGCAAGACACAAAAGCCGCAGTGATGTTCCAGGCCACACAGCCACCAGCAGCGCCGTGAAGCGTCTGCGGGCCCTTTGGGATTGCAGGATGTCACAACCGGCTCCCTGCTTATTAATGTCAAACACCCCGGTGATTCACATCACGGAATGTTTGAGCCAAGGATGCCACCTAATAGAGGGTATGGCAATGTGGTTTTATCTGAGAAGTTATGTAATCATGCTAGTGTGGAACTGTCATCACGGAATGTGGGCCTTGGATACAAAGACGGGCACACCCCCTGGGAACTGGGAATCAGGCCAAGAAGGATTTGGGGGAGACATTCGGAGAGATATTTACCACCTCGCTTGGGTAGGCAAAATTGTCAAAAACAGCACTCTCTGCGCACAGGTTTAATTTGGGATGACTTAGCAGACCCAAGAGGGCCTCCAGGGATCCCCAGGGCCTTGCTTCAGCTGGAAGGAAGAGAGGCCTACTGGGTAGCTACCTAGCCTCCTGGGTTAGAAAGGTCTCATCCCCAAGTCCCTCCTGCCTCTTTCACGGAATCAATTCTTTATTTCTGCATGCCTTGAGACCATTCATTAAGTATCGTCCAACCCTGCAGAGTGGACTTAATGTTTCTCCAACCATGCTGGAATTCTCTAAAAGGAATCAGATAGCTGTCAACACACACACACACACACACACACACACCCTTCTTTCTCCACCCTCGATTTCAACCTCCCCACCATCCCACCTGCTTCCAGGATGTGACTGGAGAAAGAAAGAGGCTAATGTGAGGCCAGGGGCGGGTGTCACAAGCACCTGTCACCTGGCAGGTCGGGGCCCCCACTGTCCAGCCCCCAGCCCCACCCACTGGCCTGGCTGCGAGCGGCGACCCGAGCAGGCCCGGCCCTCCCGCGCCGGCCTCCCGGCACCGTCCAATGGCCGATGGGCAGGGCAAGGCCGGCAAGCCGCGGCGGCCCGGCCGGGTCCCCGCCCTGTTCCCGAGCCGGGCCCGGTGGCCTTTAAACGCCGCCCAGGGTCGGCGCAGCACGGCCTTCGCCACCTTCCTTGCGCCGGCAGCAGGCGCAGCAGGAG